CTTGCTCATGGTAGTCATTGTTAAGATGTTGGGACTATTGCCAAGTAAAAGCCTGGGCAAATTTAGCATGGTGAATCTCTGTAGGACAAAGAGGACATACATTAGCCAATAGACAGCACAGGACAGAAAAGAGGCAGGGTTGCAGCTTCTGCCCATTCTTAGAAGTGCTTGAGGCAATGGGCTCTTCCACCCTACAGTGATCTTCCTATGTTGGGTGTTTTTCTCGCCATTTTTTTTTCTCTGTTTTTCGAGACAGGGTTTCTCTGTGGTTTTGGAGCCTGTCCTGGAACTAGCTCTTGTAGACCAGGCTGGTCTCGAACTCACAGAGATCCGCCTGCCTCTGCCTCCCAAGTGCTGGGATTAAAGGCGTGCGCCACCACCGCCCGGCTTTTCTCGCCATTTTGACAAAAGGAAAGGAAGGTATATTTTGGCTCAGAGTTTGAGGATGTTGTTCACTGTCATGGGGAAGTTGTGATGGCAGGGATGGGAGGAAGCTGGTCACACTGTAGTCACAGTCAGGCAGCTGGTCACACCGTAGTCACAGTCAGGCAGCTGGTCACACCGTAGTCACAGCCAGGCAGCTGGTCACACTGCAGTCAGGCAGCTGGTCACACTGCAGTCACAGTCAGGCAGCTGGTCACACTGTAGTCACAGTCAGGCAGCTGGTCACACTGCAGTCAGGCAGCTGGTCATATTTTACCATTTGTGAAATGAATGTATAGTAAATCCCCACTTTGTCTCTTAGGCATCCCTTAGTCTTACACATTTTGCTTTCTGTATTAGTCAGTATTCTCTAGAGTAAGAGAAATTACAAATGAATATCTTTACATATATAGAAGGGGAATTTATTAGAATTACTGATACAAAAACCAGCATGTAGGGGAGACCAAAATGGATCTGTGTGGACTAGGGACAGGAGAGGGGAGATGTTCATTTAATATTATCATTAGTCATGATCATGCACTTAGCAGTTTACAAATGTGTTTAACAGTCATGGCTACAAATAAAAATTAGAATCAACTGGGATTTTTTTTAAAGTAGCCAGTTCTTTAGGCCTCCCCCAAAAGATTCTGAGTCAATGGATATGGAGCAAGAGCTGAGAATCTAATTTTTATTTGTTTGTTTTGTTATGTCCTTCATTGGACCCAGGGCATCTCACACGCGGGGAAAGTATGGTGGCTATTCTTGGTTGTCAACTTGACTACATCTGGAATTAATTAAAACCCCCAAATTAAGGGCACACATATGAGGGAGTTTTGCTTAATTTGAGGTAGGAAGATCTACTTCTGATCTATGAAACAGGAAAACACACCTTTAATCATGATTCTGAGGTGGGAAGACCTACCTCAAATCTGGGCCACGCCTTCTGCTAGAAGCCTACACAGGATATGGAAGAAGGAAGCTTTTGTTCTTTTCTTGCTTGCTCTTGCGTTGCTAGCAAGTCCATTCCTTCACTGGCATTAGGGTCTACTTCTTTGGGATTCCAGCATATACACTCGAGACCAGCTGAGACATCTAGTCTCGTGGACTGAGAAACTACTGGATGATTGGACTTTCCGCTGATAGCCAGCCACTGTTGACTTAGTTGGAAGGAAGCCCGTAAGTCATTCTAATAAATCCCCTTTCTATATATGTAGAGATTCACTCTGTTAGTTCTGTTCCGCTAGAGACCCTGACTAATACAGAAAGTAACAGGAACCCCAGCTCACTTTTCATACTTTTCCTTTTAGTAAGTTGCCCATGCTAGACTTAACTCATTTGTGGTCCTAGCGGGCTTTATCTTCTGATGCTATTGCTGGAATTACTGGCCTTCTCCCACTGTGCCCAGCAGCAGGATGTCTGTCAAAGACCATACATGAGTCTAGTATGTGGCTGATACTAGCCGCTGTCAGAAACAGCGTTGGTGATACAAAGGAAGTAAACAAAACAGCTTCATATTCAGTGGTTCTTCGCTGTGACCATGAGCTGAGTCCAGCTTTGGATTCTGTAAGTACTTGGCATCTGACGTCAGTGGGATTCAGCCCACCACTAAGGTTTAAGACAAAGGAACTCCTGGAAAGATGCCAAGAATCTCTGAATTTTAGATTGTAGGTCCCCTGTCTCCTTAATTTTCTTGTTTAGTACTTTGGAACTTTTTTTTATTTGGAGGCCCACTACCCAGTTCCCAAATAAACACACATGACAGAGACTTAACTCTTACTTATGAATGCCCTGCCTTAGCTTGGCTTGTTTCTAGCTGACCTTTTGAATTTAAATTATCCCATTTTTCTTTAACTGTGTTTTACTTCTGAGCTTTTTTACCTTCTTTATTATATCTATCTTTCCTTGCTTCTACCTCTGAAGCTAGATGTGGGGCTGTGAGGCTGGCCCTTGGCATCGTCCTCACCTCCTTTTCTTGCTCCTCTCTTCTCTCTCAAGCCTAGATTTCTCCTCCTATGAATGCCAGCCCCACCTATCTCTCTCCTGCCTGGCTATTGTCAGCTCAGCTCTCTCTTTATTAGACCAATCAGGTGTTTTAGACAGGAAAGTAACACAGCTTCACAGAGTTAAACAAATGCAACATAAAAGAATGTGACACATTTTTGCGTCATGAAATAAATATTCCACAGCATAAATATTCACCGCTAATAAATATTGAACCCATCTTAAAGTAACATTTCACAACAGGCAGCTGTGTCTCACACCCTGTTTCCTATCCACTGAATGTATAGGCTGGATTAGATACACAAGGAGTTAATCTACGATTCTGAGTTTTCCTGACCCGGAACCCACAGTTACATTCATCTTCCCTAAACACTACAATTTTGGACGCTGCCCTGGGAATCTGAATCATAAGACCCAGCTCTGTCTCTCTGCTGCAGCCGGTGGACGCCAGCCTGGAATGGGTGGAGCTGGACCTCCCATCCTGGGCAATGCCTTCTCCTTATGCGATGCAGTTAAAGGCCACCCACTTTGCTTGTAGTATCAACATACAAATGTTCCCTGGCTCCCTGGTGAGCCCACGGCCGGCCCCTCACTGGTATCTGCACAGGAAGTCGTGGAATGCGGACGTTTACCCAGCGTGAATACACTTGCATCTTCCCATGAGTCTGTGGAGTCCAGCCAGCACTCGCTGAGGCTGTGAGCTCTTTGCCCTCCTCCCTTATGAGTCTCCAGCTGTCTCCTGAATCCTCTCTCCATGAGCAGAGCTTAAAGAAGTTCATCAAACAACCAAGTCGGCTTATTGCTTACATCCCATATTGCAGGCTCTGTACTAGGAAGGCCACCACACTTGGTCTCCCCCAGCCTGCCCCAGCCTGCCCCAGCCTGCCCTAGCCCACCCAAATATCTACCAGGAGGAGACCGTTACAGACAAAGCCTGGTACAAATTGCCCCGCCCAGTCTGTAAACTTTCAAAGAAAGCATCACATCTGCCTTATACTTAAGACAAATATGCACCTACGCATACCGTGCTCAGTACCATGAGGAAGAGGAAGCCTTGCTGGCCAGAGGTCAGGGCAAGGATGCTTTAAGCATGCCACACAAGAGGGAGCAAGGGAAAGTGGGGGTTTGTCTGGTAAGAGTAGGATTTACTATAATCCCGTACTGAGCACAGGCAGGGAGGTCTAGACCTGACTGAATAACTGACCTGCGAGTCCTTGCTTCCTCTCTCACTGGCCCCGTTCTTCTGAAGTGGGAATTGCTGCTCCATTGTCTCAGCACGAGGGGGAAAGGCATTGCTAGACTAGGGGAGTAGGGTCTAAACTCAATATTTCTACCCATCCTGACTGCAGGCTGCCAAACCCAAACTCCTCTGCTGCGGGACTTGAAACAGACTCCAGGGACCCCTGACTGTATACTCAGAAGAATATCCCCCGTGGAGTTGTGACGCTGTTCACTTTCATGCTCCCCCCCTCTCTCAGCACACGAAGAGATCACGTGAGGTCGTGTGAGAGGACCTGTGTTGGCAGAAGCAGCTTCGGGTACTCACTGATTCAGGTCGGCCGTCCTGCTCCTGGCACCATGCCTGTGCCTCTACAGTTTACAAAGAAGGCCTTCCTGAGAAGTCGAATGTTATACTGCTCGTCTTACTGTGTGTGTGTGTGTGTGTGTGTGTGTGTGTGTGTGCCTGTGCGTCTCTGTGTGCATGCACATGTGGAGGTTAGAAGATAATTTTGGGAAATTGGGCCTCTCCTTCCAGCACATAGGTCCCAGGCATCTCTCGAGCGGGTCAGGCCTGTAAGCTGGTGCTTTTACCCACTGAGGCCCCTCGTACATCCTTAACCGCTCTTAGTAATGCCCTACCGCCCCTTCTCTGTCTTCCACAAGCATGTTTCGAAGATGATGCTCTATACTCTCCACATACTTCCTCCATCAGTACCATCTTCAGGGCATTGGGGTGGTTCAGCAGAACTCTACTATCTGTACTTTTTACATTTGGACAATAAACCATGGCCTAGGCAGGCAGCACTAACCATAGCTACAAAAACAGAATAGTGCCAGATGTCCCTCTAAAGAGCAAAGTCATTTTCATTTTGATGAAATCATCATCATCAACATCATCTTGAATATTAGCCATACAAATCCACACTCCTGAGCCCCCCCCATAGTTGGCACCCTTTGTTTTTAGGCTTCCCAGACATAGTTTGGGCCACTAGAGGGTAGCACAGCATAAGCCCCACTCACATAACCATGTGCCGTGAGACTCGCCTGCTGTGCCCTTTCCTAATTCATTTTTCTTTGTTGTTATTATTATTATTATTATACTTAGTTATTTAATGTGTGTGGGTGTTCTGCTTGCATGTATATATGTGTACCATGTGCATGCCTGGTAACCTGAGAGGCCAGAAGGGGGGACAGATCCCTGGAACTGGAGTTACAGACAGTTGAGTCTGTGTGGATGCTGAGTCTTCTGGAAGAGCAGCCAGTGCTCTTAGCCACTGAGCCAACTCTCCAACTCCCCCCCCCTTACTAATTCTTATAAAATTTTTTGATAGATTGTCAAAATCCTTGCTCAATTATTGATTTCCTTTTTCTTTATTTGAATAGAAATTTCTTGCCAATTTTGTTTTCATAAATACACCTCGTTGTTTTGAATCTGGTACCAACAGTCCAGCCTCCCCAAAGAGTCCTCACTGGTTAGTATTTGACAGCTAACCATCAAGTTCTGCACACGTCTTAGAAACGACTAGCATCGTCTGACCAGGCAAGTTAACCACATGGAAAACGAAGTCTTGAGGCATTGGCCTAGTGCTGGCCTAGTCCTGAGATGCCACACACCTTAAATGTCTCCTTTGGACCTGGCCATGCACTGGAAGATTCCAGTTCACTCTTCCCACAGTGGAATAACAGTCCCTTGAGTACAGCACATGGTCACAGGTGTCCTGGCGTGTTCCCGCTCACCCCCGTCTTCTGTTTATTGGCTGAGGACCACAGCACTTTTCCTCAGATACCCTGTCAAGCTTTGGAGGTGATCCTGCTTTCCGGTCATCAGGAGCAGGAGAAAGAGAGTGGTGTTGACCGCCCCTGCCACACACCTTGGAGCCTCAAACCTCCGTCTTTGTCTCAGGCTTCTTCATTGACTTTACAAACTCCTTGACTTCTTCTTCCAAGACCTTGTTCCTCTTCTCCACGTCCTCCCGGGAGCGCTCCACATTTCGAAGGCTGATTTCCAGGGCCGCGAACTTCTTCCTCTCCCTCTCCAGCTCTTCGTTGAGCCTCACCACTTTAGCCCAGACATCATAATTTTCTTTCTCCAGGCTGCAAGGAAGAACACCAGAGTATTAACTCTAAACCCTTCCTTCCTAGCCCTTCTTCCACATTCCCAGCCTCTTGTTCATTTGCCTCTCTGAGACACGAAATGCCAACTGGTGAATGCCACTCCAGACATGGCCTTGGATGTATGTCCTTCCGCCCAACAGAAGACTTCACAGGAAACCTGAATTCCCTAGGCACTTCAGGGCCTTACTTAACACCCTGGTGACATTTCTCATGTTACTGTGTTTCATGTCACTTTATGGATTGTGCCCTATGTTTAAGCAGACAAAAAATTTGGAAGAAGGGCCATGTGTAACAGAGCTGGGTTCCAACCTTGCAGCACTGTGTGTGACTAGTTCAGCCAAAGCTATGGATGCTCAATATTCTAGACCTGCCATATCTCTGCTCCCTCTTCCCCATGCTCTAGTGGGTTCTGGGTTCTGGGGTCCCCTGGAATTCTAAACCCTGCCCTGGGGGTGGGAAGATGAACTATAGGCTTCCTGAATTCCCATGACAGGCATTGCTACTAGCTAAAATTCTAACACAGCCTAGGTGCCCTGCCAAGCTGTGCAGAACTAAACCTTAAGAACGAGTGAACATGGTTCAATATTTAAGCCTAAGGAGGAAATTTCTGGTCTGTGGGTGAACTTCAGACTGTGTGATTTGAAGTTTGCTTCAGAGTTTCCTCCTCTGGGTGCCGCCTCCCTCCTCCCAAGCTCATTTTGTGGGTGCCATTCTCCATCTTCCCTAAGCAGCCTTCCTGTGCGCACCTGCAGACACAAGTCGCCATCTGAGGCCATGCCTCGGGTTCTGTATTCAAGAACCTTGGCTGGTTCTGTATTCAAGAACCTTGGCTGGTTCTATGAGACTCCCCTCAGAGTCTTGCCTGGCCATTTGTCTTTCTCTTCCTACGGCAATCTTTCACACTCCTTTAGACCCTCCCATTACAACACTCAGTCTTCTTTCCCAGCTTCCCATCCCCTTCTGGCTTGAAGAAAACACACGTGAAATGCGGTGCTGGATCTTGACCACGAACTGGAGTGGAGAGTAGAAACGACAAGGGCTTGAGAGCCAGCCTGACCAGAAGTCTGGGAAAACTGGGAAGAGGAGGTGGACAGACTGAACAAGCGAAAAGAGCAAACAGGAAGTTTGCTGAGAGGTTGTATCTCCAACCACTCAAAAGCTAAATCCATAAAGCCTCACCAACATGACTGCCCAAACAAAGGCAAGCCAAAGTGAATGGGGAAAGGCCCACAGGCTTCAACCCTACCGGAAGAGCAACAGGAGGCTAAGGAATGCTGGGAGTGGAGAAATAGTCCTCCCCAGGGAAGAGCACAGCAATAGCTATCCAACACCAGGCAGTCAGCCCCGAATGATCCATTAACACAGAACACTGTGAAAGTTCCCTCGACTCGGCTAAGAGTATTTACCCTTAGGGCTAATTGGGCTTCACAAGTTTTGAAAGATCTGTTCAGCAGGGCAGGACTCTCCCACCTAATCTCTCCGTTTGTCCTCTCCTTTGATAGGTTTGGTTGTCATAGATTGTTCTGTCCCCTGAAATACTTTATGGTGTAACATTTTAGAAGGTTGAGACAATATATACTTCCTCCTAAACACAGGAGTCAGGTACACTCCATGGCCCTCTGCACAGACTTACGTTTTGATCTGTTCCTCGTATGTGCGTTTCTGGGTTTCTATTTCGTTTTGTAGGTGCTGGACCGTCCTCTGCAAAGAGTCAAGGTCATCCTCTCCAGAGTTCTTGCTTCCACACTCCATTTCAGAGTCTGTGCTGGCTGGAGCATCTCTCTTGGGGTCACAGGCAGGGGGAGAGAGTGTACCTGCTGGGCTCCCTGGGGACCCTAATGGGGCAGGGACATTGTCGTAGGTAGAAGTCCGCTGGTCATTGGAAAGGTGGCGCAAATCTTGAGACAAAGTTCTCCTGTGCCCTTCCCCTTTCTTGGCCTCTGAAGATGAAGACCAGAACTCATTTTTAAAGATTTCCAGTTTGCTGCTAGTGGTTCCTTGGAATGCTGACGTCAGGAAACACTTCCGGTTGGGGAGCGTTTGAGTCCTTTTACGAGATTGCACCTTCCAGTCTCCTGGGTTTTCCTTGGGGCTTTTCCCACTGTCCTCCTGATACTGGTCACATGGCTGTGGTCCTGTGGGGCTGGTGGCATCAGGACTACTTGCCTGGAAAAAATAGCCATGGATATTATTATAAGGATTTTTTTTTCCTTTCTGTGTGCCATGTCCCCAAGATAAGGAACCTGAGAAGTTTATCCTGGTTACGCACATGTGACACCCTTAGTGGGCCAACTCAGTGGTATGACAGTTCAGGGACCCATTCAGACTCTAGAGAGGGAGTGTGAGCTAACATCATTTGCTCAATCGGTGTGAAAATCCTAAGCCAGGATCCTTTCATGAACTTGGGCGGTTTTGTCAGTTGTGACTCAAAGCCCACGACCCTTAGTGAAGTTCAGTAAAGCCCACTGAATGTATTTCCACGACCTCCAAGATGAAGAAGAAAGCAAAGCAAACATGCCGCCACCCACTAAGTGAGAAGCCAAACAGTAAGCTGGCAGTGGCTCTGTGACGCATGTCACAGACAGTGAAGGGCGACCACCCTGTGGTACTGACTGAGATGGAAAATATCAATGACCAAGAAGAAATGGGCAAAGGACTTAAAGAATAGCTAGTTTGTGCTGGAGAGGATGCTCAGGGGTCAGGAGCACCTACTCTTGAAGAGGACCCAACTTCAGTTCCCAGCACCCACACAGCAGCTCACAACCACCTCTGACTCCTGTCCCCGGGGCTCCGATGCCCCATTCTGGCCTCTGCAGGCTCCTGCATGTGTGTAGTGCACAGGTACTCAAGTAGGCTCATGTACATACATACAAAGTAAATACATATTTAAAGAACAAAATCCCCAAATAGTTCACAGAGGAAAAAAAACTGACCCTGAGACTTTAAAAAAGATATTTAGCCTCTTTTTAAAATCAGTAGGAGATCACAGCCAGGTGACCAGTTAAAATGACTAAATTATCAGTTCTTTATGAGATGGGGTCACCCCCAAACCTGTTGGCACAACTCCATGAAACATGGGTCTTTTCATGCATTGCTGTGAAAGCATAAAATGGCACAGATGCCAATAACATGTATGAAAAATACACATTTAAATCTATTTACCTTCTTGCCTACTAATCCCATTTCTGAGAATTTATCCCATAATTGTATCTGCCTGAGCACACATCAAAGTGTGGGCAGGATGGTTTATGGAAGCCCTGTGTGGTGCAAAACTGACCTGTCCATCCCAGACCTGGGGAGGGGACCACAGCACAGTCAATGAATGAAACACCATATAGTTGCCAAAACTAAGGTCGCGTCGGTAGCTATGTATACAGGTATATAGGAACAACCATATAGTTGCCAAAACTGAGGTCGCGTCGGTAGCTATATATCTAGATCTAGATCTAGATATAGAGGGACAACTGAAGGGGGAGTGGCAAATGAGCACAGCAAGAAAGGGAGGGCGAGAAAAGGGAAGTGTGCCCATCAACACTGGCAATGTGCCAGAATCTAGACTCGCCGCCAAGGAAGAGTCAGTTAATGGAGGTGGGAAGGCCCACCTACCTGGGGGCAGAGCCATCACAGGCCTTTGCATCCTGGACTGAAGGAAAAGGAGAATGGGAGCTGGGCTCATCATCTCTCTACTCCCGGCTACACTGTGACCAGCTGCCCCAAGCCCTTGCTGCCGTGGTTTCACTGCCTTCGTGGACTGTAAGCTCCAACTACAAGCTTAAGGAACCTCTGCTTTCCTAAGCGGCTTTTGCCAGGTCTTTTCTTATAGCAATCATATAAGAGCCAACATAGTATAGGACTTCTCAGCTGGTAACTTATTAGGACTCTTTTTTTTTTTTTTAACCATGTAGTTGTATGTAAAATCAAAATGAAAAGAAAAGGGAAAAATGAGTCCCACATAAGAGGGAAAAGGTGGGGCCGAGGTACCTTCTAGCCAATCCTCTGCTTTGGTATGAGCACGCGGTCTTGCAGTGGTAATAAGACTTCAGACATGACATTCTGCTCTAGGGGGTGCTAGTGTTGCCACCTCAATAAGCCTCTCTTGCCTCAGATGCCCAACCACAATAAACAAGCATGGTAGATAATAGCCTCCAGGGGTGTGGACTCTGACATCACAGCCTCCAGGGGTGTGGACTATGGAACTGACTCATTGACTTTCTCAGCACAGTGGTTGCCTGTCATTTCAGAGCCACTAGCAAGGGAGCAGAGCCATGGCTCTCAAGAACTGTGGGTGATTTATTAACAAAGTTGCCTGACTTTACATTGTAATTAGTTTTAGAGAGTTAGTAAGATAATGCAGACATACAAATTCCATACCCCAAAACCCATAAAAAAAAAAAACCAACAGAAAACAAAAAAAGCAAAGCAAAGCAAAACAACCAACCAACCCAAAAATAAATAAATAAAATACCCCAATCACAGTAATTTGTTGCGTTTTTTTTTTCTAGTCTTTAACAACATCATAGGTAGCTTTCTTGGTCAAATAGAAATTTAATTTTTTTAACCTGGCCACACATAAAAAAACAAGCTGCTAGAGAAAGTCTATATATCCTTAAAAAAAAATCTGTCCCTATAAACTCATGACCTTGGTCAGTTTTCACCCTCTAGTAGTCTATATTTTGGAGGCTCCAGTGTTAGGCAGCACTGAGAACGTGAGCTCTGAGCCTTCTCTCCAAGCGAGGGTTAGGCACTGCTGAGGAGCTTATCAGGGAATGGGGCTGACTGCACGAACACGTCCCCAGCTCTGAGGAAGGAGTCAGGCTCAGAATCATCAGGACAGCCATCCCCTCTGAATGTCCGCTTGGAACGCTTAGCAGCTCTTACACGTGCAATTCTGCATTCATTTTTTTCTGTTGAACTTCCCTGGGATTTTGCCTTGGAGACAAGGTCCCAAAACCCAGCCTATAGGCAATTCTCACACATGTCACTAGCCCCAAGTTTTCCCAGTGTATTCTGGTAGGTCTGTCTGTGCCAGCTCTACCCACAGCCCAGCGTCACCCATCACTGCCTCAGAATGACCAGACTGAAGGAAGAGTCTGCTGGGGCTGCAGGCATCTTACTGTGCTATTGAAGCTGTCTGTCCTGGAGAGGGGCGGGTCCTCTGTGGCATCCCATCCCACAGAGCTCCGGGGCACTGGAGCCTTCTTGGCATCATTCTTCTGGACAGGGGGTGACAGTGGTGCATCCTTGGACTTGGGGAAGAGGACTTCATGGTCTCAGATCATCATGGTCATCACTCTTTGGATCTGGGGAGTCCCTGAAGAAAAGAAGAGATTTGGAGTGCTGGCCCATGGATCAGGAACCTGGAACCTGGAAGCACTCGAGAGGTGCCACCCTCCGAAAGGATGTTTCCACGATAGCCTGAAAACCTCGGGCCTCATTTGTACTTCATGGGACCATTCTTAATTATTTGGAGTAGAATATTTTGGTGTGAGAATGTACTACAATAAAGATATAAAAATGGGGGTGGGGTGAACAAAGAGCTGTTGAGGACATTTCCCATCTATATTGCCCTGGATCAGGTTTTATGAGGCAGTAGGTAATAATAATAATCAAGAAAAAAAGGCATCTTTGTCTCCTGCTGTGGTCTTCAATGTGATGTCTGTCATCTTATTGCACCCAAAGCAAATGGGTATCAGAAACACTTCCTCGCCACACATATGGCAGACATGAGCCCCCCGGACCAGGGCTTTTGCTTATCAGGCCAAGACACAACCTTAGAAAGCTTTTCAGCCTAGCTTTACAGCAGCCTACTTGTGAACCGGCTCATAAAACAAAACCCTGTTGGCTCCTCTTGGTTAATAGTATTTTAAAGTCATACAAAAGACTGGGGAAACACTAGTTAACTGGTCTGCGGTTAGACTACTGTGCTCTGGGACCTCTGAACAGGAGACATAATTCCTGCACTACTCATGAGGCTGCTAATACCACTCAGAAGAGATGGCAAGGGGCAAGCTCTGTGAGCTGCAAGCAGGACACAGACACTAGGGACAGTGTTCTCGCTTTCACCTCCTGGGCACCTCTCCATGCAGGATCGGCCTCTGTACCTCTCATGATCACAGCTGGGTCTTCGACCTTCGACCTGATGAGGTTCACTCCAATCACAGTGGCCAGGTTGTCCACACTCATCTTGTTGACAGCGCAGTTCAGCTGGATTTCATGCAGGAATCTGTGGGCAACCAGGAAACCTCATTTCAGATGATGGGAAGCGGCCAGGAGAGAGGAATCCCTGGACCCAAGGGCACACTGCTTGAATTCTAGCTCTTCCCCCTGTTTCCAGAATGGAGTGAAAGGGCTCTCCCTGCAAGAGTTTAACTGGAATCTGGAACTTCACAGATGGAGGAGGGATGAGGGGTGGGCTGGAGGTGGAGAATCTCTGTGGCTAGAAAGACTCAGATGGGTGCCCAACAGCTTCAGTGTTTTGTCTTTACCATTTGCTTCTCAGTACCCCCTCCCCCGCGCCCCATCCATGTCTCCAGAGAGGAAAGATGTGTCAGTGAGGTCTTAGAGATGGCAGGATGATTGCCAGGGGCTCCTGACAAGCATCCTCTTATCGGAGAATGGAGGTCTCTCACTCTCAGCAGGTGCTCAGGGTCTAACAAGGAAGTACCACTACACTTCCACCCATCAGAAGCCTGAAGTCCTCAGACTTGTTTGAAAAACAAAAATGACTAAGCACATCAGTAAAGGAATTTGGGGTACTTAAAAAAATTTCAATGTAGGTAGAGTGGAGTACCATAAAACTCCAAACTTGAGAAATAAAATAAAATGATGTGTTCACATGATGGAAAATGACATATTATGGGATCGTTTATTTTTTGATAAAGGACATGCTTTTCAGTTAGGTGTAAAGCATCCCCCTGTAGTTACACTGATCTAAACAATGATTTATCGGAAGAGAAAGTACTCAAGAGGAGAAGTTACTGGATGAGGGTTGCGTCTAGTTTTGGTTCTTACTTACAGTTCTTGTATCTATATGGTGTCCAGAATAAATGAGAATCATCTTTATAATTTAGAAATTACATCACAGTATTTTTGAAAAATAAAAGACAACATGGAGGTGTGTGTGGGGTGAAGATTCTCAGCACAGCAGACCTGGACTGGTCCACCTGCAAGGTGTTGCCCCAAGGACTCACACAGTAGGTCCTCAGAAAAGTCTGCAGGAAAATAAAATGGCGGCCTAGAGTGAAATTTCCAGAGTGCTAGTTTTGGGGACAACATGATTCCAGGTTCTCGTGCAAGCTCAGGGACTAAGCTGAAGGACTCTATACGTATCTCTATACGCCCATTCTGTGTGCAGGTTCTTAAGGATCCCTGAGGAGTGCGTGCAAGAACACCCCTCAGAGCTACATGAATGAAATTGACCTTCTACAATGCCAGACCAGAATCTGGGATCTTAGAAATGGCTTCCTCTTCTCCCCAAGGCTTCTTCCTGCTGTGGCTGGAGGCTGGGGCTCCACACCGGGAGGCTCACCTGCAGATGTAGCTCAGGAGACTGTAGTTATCCCTGGGCAGGATGGAAAGTTGCTTCACCAGCTCCTGCTGAGCCTGGGAAGAGAGTTGGACACGAGTAAGCAAGCCTGCTGCCTGTCTGTCAGCAATGAATGTAGGGACATCTGTGTAGAGAAAACTCCTGTTCCCACAGGTCTAAGAGTTAAAATCCTTTGAGATCAAAGTTCTGAGAATTCATGAAATGAGAACTGAAGCCCAGACTGGTCTTGAACTCCCCATGTAGCCAATGATGACCTTGAGCTTCTGATCCTCCTGCCTGAGATTACACATGTGAGCCACCACACTCAGTCTGTGCCATGCTGAGGATCAAACCCAGGGCCCTACATACGCTAGGCAAGCCCTCTGCCAACTGAGCTACATCCCCAACTGCTGTATTTTTTTCTGCTGTGCATTTAAAAAGTCTGTTTGAAATAATTTAGCCCACCCACTCCCAACTTTGAGCACATGTAAGAATGGTCTACCTGATAATTCACACTCGTGATGGTTTGCTGGATGAATGTGGTAATGATCCGAGAAACAAACCACAACCTTACATCTCAGAATGACATTAAAAGTCATGAGAAAATTGTTCTTCTGTGGTGGCTCTAAAGCCCTGTGGTCTTGCTGAGAACTTCTGGGACATAGGCCAGACGGGCTGAGCTGGAAGGCACGCTCTGGGATGGGCGGTTCAAATTCTACAATAGCTGTAGATGTCAGATGCTGCCATTCATGGGTCACATGTGCCAGGGAGAGGAAGGATGCTCCTGCAGCCGCAGCTGCCTGCAGAGCCTGTGATCACCCTCTGGTGACATGGAGGATGGCATCTAGTATGGTTCTCTCTAGGTGTTTTGCAAGCTTTATTGAGTATCGATCACAAAGGAGATCTTAGATGTCCCTGCAAACCAAGGGCTCTCACATCTCTCCCCTGCAACACCCAAACTCGGAGACCGTGAGGCCTAATTTTTCTTCTTAGGAAAAAGCTACGTGGTGGCTACATCATCGCAGTTCTCTTCCCATCCTAGCTTTGAGATGGAAAACACTCCTCTGTGCCAGGATCTTCATAACTATGACTCCCCATAACTGTGGCTCCCCATAGCTGTGGTTCCCCATACATAATCATGGATCCCCATAAACTGTAGCTTCCCATAACCTTGGCTCCCCATAACTGTGGCTCCCCATAACCATGGAGCCCCATAACCATGGATCCCCATCACTGTGGCTCCCAATAACCATGGATCCCCATAACCATGGATCCCCAATAATCGTGGTTCCCCACCAGCAGACACCTGGGGAGTCTGAAAGCTGCTTTCTCACTGGCCTGGAAGTCCTGAGACTCAGACTATATCACAAATACTGAAAAACAGAGAACTGCTCAGCCCAAAAGAATCTTAGTTACTAGTTAGTTTCATGTGCCTTGATCCTCTAAATGACCCCAGGCCAATCAGACAAGGGCATTGTCTAACTGTGTGCTGCCCGACACATGTGCTGATTGCCACATGTAGCCATTCAATGTAAATAAAATTAAGAATGTGGCTCTTCTGGTATACTACCTGTATTTCATGGACATGATACCACACGTGGCTATAAGTTAGCACATGGGACAGTGATAATATTACATCACCACAGAAGTCCTATTGGGCCAAGTAAATATACTGAGCCTCAGAGAATACACATGAGGTGGCTATTTTTAGTTATCAACCTGACTGGATTTAGAATGACCAATGGAGGCAGGTTTCTGAGGACATCTGCAAGAGTGTGTCCAGAGAGGTTTAACGTAGGTGGGAAGGCCCACCCTGACTGTGAGTCTGGTGTTGTGGTAAAAAGTAAGCCAGCTGAGGACAGGCACTCATCTCTGCCAGCTTCCTGCCTGTGGGTACGGTGTGACAGCTGCCTATGCCCCTGCTGCCACAGTTTCTCTGCCACCATACACCATATCTTGAAACCAAGCCCAATAAAACCCTTCCTTATGTGGTTTTCATCTGGTATTTTGTCACAGCAGCGAGGTAGTAACTCATACAGTGCATAAAGAACTAAGGTCAAATCCTGGTCTTCTTGCTATTTTGCCAGTGGGATAGCACCGTTGGCCTGGCACTGCTACTGAAGCACCAGTCTGACTCACTCCCACCTGCTAGAACCCTGTTCAGAAGCAGAAGGACAGTCAGCAAGAGAGACACCGACCTTTGCCTCATCCGCATTCATGAGCTGCCCGCAGAGCAGGAACCCTTCGTACTGACTCCAGGGAACCACAGGCTCCGGGAGGTCTCGGAGGTAGAGCTTCAATAGAGAGGCCACCGTGTGCACATCTGTGTCCCTGGAAGAAAACCGGCTGCACTTAGAGCGCAGAACCCAGAGGCCTCTCACTTTTGGGACAGGACCACCCGGTCAAAGCGTGAACTACAGAGGGACGTGTTACGAAGGACCAGCGTCTGGGAAACTCCCAGACCCAGACGCCAGAGCCCAGAGCAGCGCAGCCACTTCCTGCTTCCACACAGCTGCTAACATGAAGGGTCACTTTTTCATTAAATGCTCTTTAACTATTTTGGTCTTTTTCTGTTTTCTTATTTCTTCAGACCACTTAATATGTCACGGTTAACGATGTCTATGTAGTCTCTCATTCTTTGCACATGTAAACTTGTTTATATCCTTGGTCCGTTGTCCTCATTTACTCCCAGAGTTCTCAAAGCAGCTCTGGGATCCAGCCATATGCTTCATCAATAGTTAATTCAGTCATAACCAACGAGGAAGATTATTTTTTATCTTGGGCATCCTTTCTTCCCTTTTTCCTTCCTTTTATGATTTATGTAGTAAACCTGCGGGAATACCTGGTTCCATCAGGTCGCAACACTTTTTTAAGTGCTTGGAGAAAACAAAACAGAAAGCGTCTATCTCATGACACAGGAAAGTGTATGCACTCGTAGTTACAGCATCAATAAACCAGGTTTTAGAGAAACACAGCCCTGCTTGTTCACTGACAAACTGCCATTGCTCCCTGACAGTGAGAATACAGACAGCGGCAAAGCCCTGAAGAGCCCAAGAATGCTAGCTGCAGGCCAGCCTGGGACATCTGCTGGCCCCTGAATTGCAGGGGTTGTGTCTAGTCTGTTAAAAGAGAAACTAAATCTGAGTCTACCACATTACAGTGTGTTACCAAATAAGGGGTGTGTTCTGAGAAATGCGCCACTGTGGAATTTAGTCACTGTATGGAAACCATGGGGTGATCTCCATAAAGCCAGGTGCTACAGCTTGCTCTGCTCCGAAGCTACGTGGGCAGTACTGTTGTGGCCTGTCACTGAGGCTACGTGGGCAGTACTGTTGTGGCCTGTCACTGAAGCTACGTGGGCAGTACTGTTGTGGCCTGTCACTGAGGCATTTGAGACGCGGTAAACAAGAATACCAAGTGTGTGTGTGTGTGTGTGTGTGTGTTTCTTTTGTTTTGGTTTCTGTTCTTAGTTACCAATTTCTGGCTTTGACTTCTGCACCACCCATACCACACCACACCCCATCCCTACCCCCTCAATCCGTTCCCCCCACCCCTGCCTCTGAAGCTCGTGAACTTGCTACCTCTGAAGGAGAACAAGTGCACAGGATGCCATCTGCACTCCAAGGCAGGAAGTGTGGGCCGGGGATGTTCCCTTAACATGGATAGTCAGAAACCTCCCGCCCTACAGAGTCACTGTCTAGAACACCCCTGAGCAAAAGGCACTTAGGGAAAGCACTTTCCACGAGAACACAGAGAGAAGAGCCCAAGAAAGTGGCAGAAGAATCACGGGCTGGCAGTCTGTAGGAGGATGCTCCGAAATGTCTCTGTGTTACAGCTGACCCAGTGTCTTTACCACGCCCAGGGCCCTGCTTGCCTATGCTCTCTCCTCTACCCTGCACGCAATGAAGCTCCGTGTCCCCGTTGTCTTCTCAAATGGATCCCTTACGGCCCCTCTCCTTCCACTCCTGACTCAGATAGCCACTGCCTTCCCCAGCCCAGCCCCCTTCCTCTCCATCTCTTATCCACAGACAGCCTGGCCCCAACACACGAAACAAACACACCCATAGAATGAATGGAGAGGAAAAGAGTTTCAGTGAGAAAAATGTTATCAGTGATAAGGATGGAAACCAGACCCTTAGCGAGAAATTTCAACTTAAAATAGGCAGTTTTCTCACAAGAAACTAAGACGGCAAAGATAACCAGTTATAAATAGACAGGGAGGCGCGTGGGTGCACGTCTGAGACCAGCACTTGGGAGGCAGAAGCAGACAACTCTCTGTGAATTTAAGGTCAGCCTAGTCTATAGAGTGAGCCTGATCTATAGAGCGAGTTCCTGGATAGCCAGGGATACAGAGAGAAACTCTGTCTCAGGGTGAAAAAAAAAGGAAGAAGAAATGGAAAGGTGGTATAGCCACAGATACAATAGGAGTAATTCAAAGATTATGTTATATCATATTATATTATGTTATGTTTTATTCTTAGAAACATCCAGAAAGCCCAATTAATTTTGACAAAGTTGATGATGATAGCCTGAGGTTAGCCTGGCCAGCTTCTTATTTCGGTTTATTGGGTCTCATCCTCAACATTATTTTCTCGAGGCCTTCTCTAGTTTACCAGACTATGTCAGGCTTCCTTTCTCTGAATTTTGTTTTCTCTACTTATTGTTTTGGGCACTAACACATTCTGTATATTGGGGGCATAATGTCCCCTCCACTGTGTCGGTGCTGACTCAGGGGTCAACCTTACGGTCTAAGTCTTTCTCTTGAGTTGGCTGTCCCTCCAAACCAAAGGATCAGCCTTAAGTAACTGTCTTTGTCGGGTCTGAGCTCTGACCCACCTTTGGTGGCCTTGCCAGGTTGCCTTGGAGCCCGCATATGTACCATGAAGCACACCTGTCCATTTCCAGAGAGAGCACAGGGATGGGAAGGACATCAGGATTGTGACCAAGAGGTATTCAAGCCCAGTAGAAACTAACAAGGAGATTTTTAAAGTTGGTTTTTGCATGTGTGTTATGTGTGTATTGATGCATGTTTCCATATGTGTGGGTACACATATATGTAAGTGCATGTTTCTGTGGAGGACGGATGTTGACATGGGTGTCTTCCTTGATTTCTTCCCACCTTATGTATTTAGCAGGGTCTTTCACTTGAACACAAAAGCTTGAAGATTTGGGCAATCTAGCTATCCAGATAGCTCAGGGGATCTCTTGTCCTGGCCTCTGCAGGACTGGGATTATAGACAGATCACCAGATTCCTTCCATTCATTGCAAGGGATCTGAACCCCCGTGTAATCAGAGGTTTCTTTCTCACCTACCATTTCCTGAATAACCATTTAGAGGCTTAATATGACATCCCACAGCACTCCCACTCCCGTCTTCTCTTGTGTGGGGTCTCCTTAGCCACTGAGCCACCTGCCCTGGCCATACAAGGAGGCTTTCATATTTGCTTTCTCTATTTTGTGAGAACACGTACACCTGTGCTAGAATAGCACCAAGCACAAGAACCATGTTTCTTCCATTCAGGTGAAAAAAACATAGCAGATCATTTGACAGTACCAACTCTACGTATGACCCGTGGAAGACCCAGTGGCCACCCACTGGCCCTGTGTTAGAGATGCCAGGAAGGGCCCTCTTGACCTTCCAACTCCTGTAACTCACTGATTGATAAATGGTCAGGATTCAGAAAAACTGTAACTATAGGAGAGATGTAGCTCACACCACAGCTATGCCTGCGGCAAATGCCTGCAAAGTGCCAAGCCATGGTCACCATAGGTGCTGGGACACACTCCTAGCCTGGACCCTAAACATTTTGAAACTTAGTTAAATGACAAGAACAAAAGAATCCTACATTCTTCTTCAAATAAGGTTTGTCCACTCAAGGGGTATATGGACCCAGGAGCTGGCCCTAAAAGGACTCTTTCCCCTCTCTTTCCCCCTATCTCTCTCTTTGATTGTGATATGTGTGATTGTATAAATGTGTATATGTGTGTCTATGTGTGTGCATGTGTATCTGTGTGTGCAACTGTGTATATGTATATATGTGTGTGCATGTGTATATATGTGTGTATGTGTGTTGTTGTGTATATGTGTGTATGTGGGGGTAGCTTTCCTCCTTCTAAGCTCCCAGATTTCATGGAAATCAAAGACTACAGACCTAGCAGAATTCAAACAGGCATGCAAGGCAGTTATTTAGAAAATCCCACTATAACCTCTGTTCTTTGGCATCCTGACTTTACTCTTTAATTAATAATCCACCTACATCTCTTGATCAACTCAAACATAATTTAAAAATTAAGAAGCAACCTGAATATAGTGACAGTGAATATACCAGGATACGCTCCTGCTTGTGGACTGTAACCGACTACACTGTGAACCTGAATAAAGACAGTGACTCTATTGGAATAGGCTCCTGCTTATGGATTGTAATTGGCTGTTCTGTTGAACAGGCCCATAACTTGCTATAGTTCCAGTGGTAACTATACCACTATTTGTCTAAACTAGACATGTAAATTAGCCTATGGCATACTAAAGGCAGAAGAGACAGTCATAGGTGGGCCAAACAAAGACTACGCCAGAGTGGGCATGGAGAGAAACCGATGGGCCTTAGAGATGCTTCAGAGGGAAAGCGGCTGCAGTGGTGACCAGAATGGGGCTGAAGAGGAAGAGCAAGGAGATGCCTGCATAAGAATGACTCAGGCCTTCAGAACTTCCCCTCTGACCTAAATAACTCTGGGGGATTTCAACATTTGTGAACTGGGTAGTGTTCAGGCCCATTGTACCAAAGCTTGTTTGCTCGGCGGCTAACTTGGTAAGAGTGGTTGGTCTTAAGCCAGCAGGACAAGTGCATGCAGGCAATCAGGTACTGCAGTCAACAGAGCGTACAGTGTGAAGGTGGGGCTGGACCAGCTAAGAATGCAGGGTGGATGTAAGACTGGACCAGCTAAGCATGCAGTGTGTGGTGGGGATGAACTGGCCGAGCATTCAGTGTGGATGTAGGGAGTTGAGCATGCAGTGTGGCTATGGGGCTGGACCAGCTGAGCATACAATGTGGATATGGGGCTGGACCAGCTGAGAATGCAATGCCAATGTGGAGCTGTACCAGTTGAGCATGCAGTGTGTGGGGCTGGACCAGCTGAGCATGGTAGAGAAGGACATCCTTGTTGGGTTCCTGGAGAGTGAGAGGAACTGACTGCAGGAATTTTCACCACATCAGATGTGCCTCATACAGGACTAGAAACCTTTGAGGAGGATAAGAAAGAACACCAGGCTGCTGTGATGGTGTGTGCTCTAGTCAGATGGCTCAAAGTTGAGTTCAGAATCACACAGTCCTGTGGACCCACAGACTTCCAGCCACTCTGGAATGCTGGAGCAGTCTTCTGGTGCCTGCGGTCGCAGATGCGCTAACCGTCACAGATGTGTTTATGCAGATAACCCTGATCTTCATGCTTCTCCTCTGCCTGACGAGGATGCTGGGCAGTGTTCCTAGGCTAAGCCTCAGCTTTCCCCCATGCTCTGCATCCCCGCATTCCCTCCTGCCCTAAGCATCACCTGACTCTGCCCAGATCATACTATGTCATATAAATCGTCTGCACACTCTTTTAACTGTGCCTCGGTCCCAAAATTAGGAGTGATGAACAGAGCAAGGAAAGCCTTCTTCCTATTGCGTTCTGGGGTCTTGAAGCCTTTGAAGGCTCCCCTAGATCTTCTCTGCCTCGTCAGTTGGACAGGGCACAGGCAGACGGGACAGTGCAGGTAAGGAGGACAGCATACCTGTCAAAAGAAGGTCGTTCCCCTGCATCGAATGCATCTCTCAGCTGCTTCACTAGGTTGTCCTGCCCAGGCAGGCGGAAAATGCCCTCTTCACTCACACCATGCTCCAGGATGAACTCTGTGCACTTCTCCACCAGGATGGGCACCAGCTGAGGGCCAAACTTCTGCTCATAGGCCACAGTCTCATCCAGGCGCTGGCCGAACACCGCTGGGAAGAAGAAATGTGGGGTCCCTGAGTTATTCTGACCTTCTCTGAGTCAACGGGTGGGCAGGGACTGTGCACGTTTCTTCTCTTTTTACAAATGTATCAATAGTTATTATTATTAATAGTATTTTACACATATGTGTTTTGCCTGCTTGTATGTCTATGTACCACATGCATGAGTGCCCTTGGACACCAGATGAGAACATCGGCTTGCCCTGGGGCCTGAGTTACAAATGTTTTGAGCTGTTAAGAATTCCTCTGGAAGAGTACTCAGTGTTCTTAACCACTAAAGCACCTCTCTAGCCCCCTTTTTCTTTCAAAATATTATCTATTTTTAGTTTAATATTTTTGAGAATTTCATACATGAATTTAGCATTTACATCATTCCCATCCTCGCTCTTCCACCTTCAATTCTTTCCGTGTGCTCTGCTACTCTCTCAAACCCACGAGCTTGTCTGCTTTAATTATTGGTTTATATGCACTTGCACATGCATGAGCACACATACACTCACACACGTGCATGCACGCACGTGCACACACACACACACTAAATCCATTTAGTGTTGCTCTGTGTATTTGTTTAGGGCTGATGCTGGGATTGTCTGATCTACCAGGGGGCTTGTCCCTAGAGAAGACTGATTCTCCCTCTCTCTGCAGCCATTGATTGGTTAACTCTGCATCTAGATAGAGTCTTTGAGGTCTATTCCCTCAGCACTGGCATGTCACCTGGTTTTGTCATTGTTCAGGTCATGCTTCTTTGGCCATTTTTAGAGCTTTGTTATGGGTACATAGTCCCTGCCCTGTACAGCAGACACATGCTCCCAGCAGAGGTCCTGAGCTCCAGTTCTTAACAGTGTTTCGCCCCTCTCTCATGACATTCCCTAAGCTTCGGAGTTGTGTTTCCGATATGTTAATGGGATTGTGTACCACACAGTCAGTTGTTCTCTGGATTTTGGACCACATGTGATTTTGGAACTTCTGTAGTGATCTTCAACTCCAGCAAAAAGACGCTCTCAGATGGGGGTGAGAGCAACATTCATCTGTAGGCAGTGGCGGCGCACACCTTTAATTCCAGCACTTGGGAGGCAGAGGTAGGTGGAGCTCTGTGAGTTCAAGGCCAGTCTGGGTTACAAGAGCTAGTTCCAGGACAACTAGCTCTGTTGCACAGAGAAACCCTGTCTTGAAAAACTGAAAAAAGAAAGGAAAAAAAAACCAGAATGCTGCTAGGATTTACACTGGTTTAGGAAAGCGGCTGTAATAGGTTTTCCTCTAGGGTCCAATACTTCACCAGCCACGAGTAGTTGCTAGCTTTATAGTATCAGGCATGAATTCCTTTCTATTGAGCAGGTCTTCAATCCAATTAGACAGTTGTTGGTTGCCCCCAAAACATAAGTGCCATTATTGTACCCTCGGGGGATATCTTGCCATCCTGTTCATTGTTGTGGCTTTACAGTTGGGCAGGGCTCTTGATTACTTTTCTTCTTTGGCAGGTTGCATAACACCTTTGGCTGTGAAGAAAGCTATTCCTTGGGGAAGAGCTTCCAAGTCAGTCCCAGTTCAGCCCTTCTAAGTCTTATGTCTAGCATGTGTGGTGTCTTTAGCAAAAGGGTTTTACATTCAACTTCTGGGAGGAAACTAAGGACAGCTGCTATAGCCTATATTTGGGGAATCTCTTCCACCGCCCTGGTCAATAGCTCCAAAGGAGATTTTTATGTCTGTCACTGGGGGTTTTACTAGACAGTCTATGGCTCTTGGGGGAGTATTATTGATCCAGAGGATTGGTATTATAGAGGACTTACTAGTAGATTGACTTAGGAGACATTAAGTCACACAAGTAAAATTTAGATATAGGAGCACTGCTTCCTAAACACCCCTCCAAATAGGTAGTATGCGAATCAACCTGTTAGAGAGAAGACTGAGATTGACCAGTCATTGGGCTCTTTAGGGCTTTGAAAGAGAATGGTCCTCATAGGCTAATCGATTTGAATGTTTGGTCACCAGGGAGTGGCACTGTCTGAAAGATTAGGAGGCCTTGTTGGGAGTGGGGCCTTAAGGTTTCAAAAGCCCAAGCCAGGCCTAATGGCTTGCTCTTCCCTCTGCCTGCAGATCCAGATGTAGAATTCTCAGCTACCTCTCCAGCACCATGTCTTCTTGTCCACTGCCACGTTCCCCATCATGATGATAATGGACTACACTTCTGAAACTGTAAGCAAGCCCCAACTAAATGCTTTCTTTTGTAAGAGTTGCCATGTTCATGGTGTCTCTTCACAGCAATAGAACAGTGACTAAGACATACTCCGTTAGCATAATAAAGACATACCTTTAAGGGGCAGCTCGGAGGTACAACCATCACTAACTCCTGTCCTGGGCTCTTATCAGCAAAGAAGTGATCCTGTCATGTGGGCAAGATGACACTGGCTAACAACCATTTGAAAGAGAACAACAGAGGTATGCTTAAAATACTTCTGGCAATATGTAATATGTTTGCTGTGTAAATCTTCTATCTGCCTAAGCAGGCAGACTTGCAGTCTCCTGACTCTGTTTATGGTACTTGAAGTGTAACCTGGGGCCAGGACCTGAGAGAGCTGGGAGGATGGCGGCGCATGTAAAATGCAAAAGCCTCAGCCTCAGGTGCAAGTAGGCTAATGAAATCTCGTATCGGGGAGTGGACTCTTAGCTGGCCATTAGCCCCAGACAACCAAACACCACTAAAGAGCTCTCCTTCATCTCTAAGTGTGTTTCTCACTGAGGAAGCATCTTGTTTCCATTACATTATGACAGACAGCCCACGGCAGCCCATGGCCTCAGCACCAGGCTTGCCTTCCGAATGTTCCCTGCCCCGGCTACTGATCTGGCAAGTTTACCAAGGCCTCCAAGGCTCGGTGCAATTGACAGTGAAGTGGCTATGACAGTGCTGTGACCTCAGAGCTGCAGTCAAGATGAAATGAATGCACCACAGTAGTAAGCAGAGGACATGACCAGCTTCCCGGCATGCAGTGATCAGCAGAAGTTTAGTACTATCTTAAATACGTAAACAAAATGGGATAAAAATGGAGACGGACAGTAATGATCCCAAATTACAGTCCTGGGAAATTTAAACGATTTGTTTTCAGGTCTTGGTTAATATTCTTGTCCTAAATTCTTTAAAGGTGACATGGGAAAATCAAGAACTATATTCTGGTGATGCAGGGCACTGAAGGACAAGAGAAGGAAAGAGCCCATCACTCCGTTATCCCGTACTGAGTTAAGCCGTTAGGTCTCTTGTAGAATTCAGATTGTTTTCTGTACTTTCAAAAGCGCAGCTACACTGAACATGTTCGCCGGAATGTCCACACATGGAGGCATAATATTTGGGTATTGTTGAATTAATTAATTAGTGTTTGGATAGATGAGCACAGATATTTCATGCTGTTCAACTATTTTCATGGGGCAACTTTCTGCATGTTCAGCTCTGGGGTCAAGTGGTTTGTCCCCATGGTATGCAAATTGCTTTGCCAAAATATTTTTCCAAATTCCACAGCCTCCAGCAAAGCAAGCGTGGGCCAGCTCAACCTTGGCTCTGTCAGCACCCAGCTCTGTAATTTCCTCACCCCTGAGCCTGACAAGATTAGATCTAAATGAACAGAGCTACTGCCCACCTGTTCTTCCCACAAGCTCCAAGGCTTCTTCCCTTTAGGTTCTGAGGGCAATGGCTTCAGTTCTGTCTGAACCTGGCCTCTGTCCTACAAGCTGGCCCTTCGCAAAGCCTCTTGGTTCTCTGGATCCCTGACTCTTTGGCTGTTCTCCTCTCTCCAGACACTAGCTAGTACAGATTTAACTTATGAAGAACAATATTGGACTCCGGAATCCTCCACTCCAGTATCCGGCATTTTCAAAACACTGTTGAGCACCACTGCCCTGCTTCTGAGGTCATACACCTCGTCCTCAGTTGCCAGGGCAGTGTTCTTTAACTGGCCTCAGTGCCTGATGGTTCCTCTCTCGTGTATCTGGTTCTGGGGGTTGAGGGTATCGTCTCTGATTCCAAATCTGCCCAGATGTTCTTGTTTGACTTTAGCGGATCTCATTGCTGGCCTGACATCCACTTGCCCTTCTCACATGACCGACTAACCTGTCTTCAAAGGCGCCTCACTCCGATGTTCCCAAAACAGTGCTAGCCAGTTTCTCAAACACTCTTCTCCCTCCCATGTCTGCCCCCTTCCCAGCCTCCTGGGATTCTATTAGACTCTCATGGGACTTTTTCAATAGCAACATCTCTGCCAGGCCTTCTTGCCCTCAGGTAGACAGACTTCAGCCTCCCAGTGTGTGCTCTCCTCCCTCTCTGCCCACTGCACTGTGGCAATCGGGCTACTGTGACTTGTGCATCAATGTCTGGGCATGTGACCATAAGCTCCTGTGCTTAGAAATAGGTAAGGTCTTTTTGTTTCCCCCGGTGAGCCTGGCACAAGGAGGATGGGCAACAGATTTTGCTGAATTACTTGGTGAGTTAGGATCTTTAAACAAGTATTTTCCCAAAACTCATGGTTACTTTGACATTCCTTTGGTTGGAACCCTCACAGTCATCACACAAATCAATCCAGTTTCCTCGGCAACAATGGTCTAATGCCTGGCACTGGCCAGCTGCAGCCTTGTGGGATGACAAGGAGCACAAAGACGTTGTCATTGCCTCCAATCAGCCAACTTCCCACTATGCAAATGAAAGGACCACACACACACAAATACCAAGACCATCAGAATGTTCAGGACCACACAGAACTGGGCTTCTGTTTACTGTGAAAGGGGGTGGATAGATATTTCCACCACGCCAGAAGATCATGATTGAAACACAAGCTGCCATGGCACACTGGGAAATTCTGAGAGGTGCAGAGTCACTGTCAGAGGGAACGGCTTCTGGAGCATGGATTGTGGGCACCGGTGGCCATTCGATCCAGATGTGGACAAATAGCCCAAATATACTGAAAGCCAAGAGAAGTCAGATTTCTCTCTTCCCCTAAGCACATCAGCCT